ACGAATATACTTTCGGTACATTTCAATTAACAACATTCTCCTGAGGTAGTCCGACGAAACGACACGCCAGCTTCGGGCTCTTCGGTAGCTTTTCTAAATACAACATCCGGTATATGATAATACACGTATAATTTTTTATCGGAGTGTTTCGAATTTGATCGTTGGTTTTTTTTGGAAATGGATAAGAAAGAACTTACGGCATTAGTTCTTCGTCTTTTTCTTGCTTGAGGGAGACCTAGTCGAAATTTCGAGGAGCGCAAGTGATTTTGGAATTAATTTTTTACGTAAGTTTATGTTTGAATTATTTAAATAGACGATATTTAATTATGATTGAGTAGGATAATGCAAACAATAGGCATTGTTGTAAAATGTTAATGCAACTCAATTAATAATTTTAGTATTATTTAGGAGATTTAATTAATTTTGTGTTGTAGATTTGATATAATATAAAAATTTCAGTTTAAGACTAAAAGGCTAAAAATATAATTTCTATTAAAAAAATAAAAATAAAGTTGGTGCAGGTCACTACTTTAACTATTTAATATTTATGTTTCACTGAACCTACCCTTATTTTTTATTTATTGGCAATATTATTATTAAATTGTACCACAGTTTTTGAAATCTAATGAGCGATTAATTAATTACAGTGATAAACAATTAGTTTTTTGAAAATAACAGATACCTTAGTATTTTACCGATATTCCGTTAACTATAAAACATATGGGATGGTTATAGAAATGCTTTGGTCAGTGTTAAAAACGGCCCCGTTATAGAATTGATTAACATATATAATAAATAATTACTAGAGTAGTCGAAATTCAAACTGTTATGGCAAGTTCAAACATGCGAGACCCGGATTTTTTGTGCAACCCAAAAAAATCTAAATTACATTCTCATATCGACGAGAAGTTATAGAAATAAAATTTACGTTAATTTAATAGTCGCTAAGAGAGCGTAATAACTTCACATTTTACTACATACTACATAAGCTATCAATCAAAATAACAGGAAATTGATATTGACGGAAGGTACAAATAAAGAAGAAAAAAGGTTCTATTAAGTTACGTTGAGTATGTTTTAGAAATTGCTGGTTATTTTAACTAACAATACTATTTAATTTTAAATATACAAATATTGAATAATTTTATGTAAGTCACACATTGTACTGAAACTTATTTCTATTTAATTTCATGATTTTAAGGCAATTAAAATAACTGCATTTAGAATATTCGTTTGTTGACGTGTTTAATGAATATTTAAGTAAAATAACTTATTCGTTATGCTTTTTAAATATACAGGATGTCTTAAAAATAACAATTAAAAATGTGCTTAGTACCCCTTCCAAAGAAGTCGAAATAGCCTAATTGAAAACATTTTAATATACTATTAGGCATCATCAAAAAAATTCCAACTTTTATCATATTTATTATCATTTTTTGTCGCATCTTTACTGAATGAAACAGTATTTGTAAAATCGGCATTAATTAATCATTAATTGTTTATGACACTCTGTATATCCATGAACAATATTTATAATTATTGTAGCAGAAAGTTATAGTCCACTGCATAACCGTTTATATAAGTAAATTTAAGTGGTTATGCACTAATGCGTAGATTTAAAATTAAACAAAAAATTATAAAGGATTATGTAGCAAATAAATGCCTTATTCTGAAAAACAAAACAGGAATAAGGTTTTTTTGTAAGGTGCTTAGCCACACTTTACAATTTGAACTAATTGTAAAGCCATAAAACACTTCTTAGATTTCCTCTAAAATAACTTTAGTAAATAGGTGATGAAGATTAAGAAAGCAATTCAAATGTTCCAGTTTTCTTCACAAATCAACACTTTAAATAAACAGAAAGATGATGCACAAAGATGAAAGTATTAAGGATTATTGGATTATACAAGATTACCTATAGGTTCGCAAAGTTTTCAGGTCAACAAAATACTCGTAGAAAGTTTCATCTATAAAGTGAAAACAACAACATAAAGCAAAAGATTTGTAGCAAATTTAAATAAATTATCTACGCAACATTTTAGGTACGGAATGTGTCACTTTTCTAATCGAACAACTCAGAATAAAGTTTCCATACCTATACAAAAAAAGTGTCACAAATGGAATTAGTAGGTCTTTTAACAATTCTATGGAGTTTGTGGTAACTATTTAATCAAATATTGTAAAAACCCGCATTGTTTAGTACATAATGAAAGGTGTTTTAATAAGTCTGGACAATGAATGATTCGCTGCTAAGTGAAATAACGAGAAAGGCTTCCGCGTTTACGTTAAGCAATAGGAGAGAAATGAAACTTGTTGTGTTTATCGGTGCGGCCGACTCCAGCGAGGTCATTGTCATTTCTCCGGAGAAATTTCTTTCGATATTGCGTGAAAATTCATATAATAGTTCACCCCACTTCGGCCGATCGAGGAAGTCCAACGTGCGTAATGCAATATCCTTTTACAATCATGCAGACGATTTTTATCTTCTAGAATTCTTTATAACTTTCGTTGATGATCGATAACCAACAGCAATCTTTAAAGTGATTTATTAGAAGTGCAGTCTTAATTACCTATGAGAATAATGAGATTTTCTACTTCGTAATACTTATGTTTATATTATGGCTTTTACCTTCCGGTTTGTATTGCGTAAAAGTACTTGTTTGAAAATGAAATTTGGTTACATTATAAGTAACTATTTTAATAGTCAATGGCTGTGAAATTTCTATGTTTGAAAAAATTGATCACCTAAAATTATTTTCCTGTTTATTCATAATGGTATTATCAAACTTTTGTACATCTATGGTAGCAATTTAAAAAAATCTTCACAACAGAGGGCAAATTTATTTGAAATCGGTGAAAAATTAGAAAGGTTAAAGAAATTCGAATTGATAAGATTGACAAGTTTATCCAGCTGATTTTTTATGTTCTTTATTGATTAAAATAGTTACAGATGCACCGATTTGGTTGCATCAGGTCAAGGTATTTGATATATTGGAATATTTGATTGCTTTATTAACCGATTTAAATATCAAAGTTCTATAAAAATTCTATTTTGGTGTTCACAATGATCGATTAATAAAGAAATAACAGTTTTAAGAAAGTGTTCGTAGTTGTAGCATTAATTAATTTGAGCCTACACTGCTCAAATTAATTGGAAATAAATTATAATTAGTTAATTAATATTATTCAAAATTGTAATATAGATCACAGCAACTGATAAAGTGTTGGTTTGCAAGATCGCAGATAAAGGATAAAAAAATTGGTCTAGTGAATGTGAAACATACATATATGTATGAGAATAAAAATATACATGTATAAACTTTGTTTGATTATACTATGTCATAAACCAGATTAATTTAAGCACTAGAAAAGAAAATGGTTACTCAATCGGAAGAAAGTAATGAAAATTTAATTAACGCCAGTTTTTTGCAAATCTAATTAATTATGCAAAACTATGCAAACATTTATCAGAATCCTAATGCAAAATAAAAATTCTCAGAATCGCGGAAAAACGATAATAATTATATCGACGTACGGCATTGCGTTCGAACGGAATACGATAAAATATTACACGTAGATACTTTCACTTTCTCCATTCCGGCATTTTTCTCGACTCGCACCCGATTCTTCTGCGTCTTCGGTTTCAATATCGCGAATTTCTCTTCGCGTAACGACAACGACCGCCCGACGAAGTTTCGTTCAGCAAGTTCCGTTTCCTTTATTTCATTTCATCATTTCTTGTTCGATAGCACGTCTAGGAAATATCTTGCTTTGCCGACCGCGGGTGAAGCCGAATCGATTATTTTATTACAACAAAAATTTTTGCAAAATAATTTCTCCTTCTTCAAAATTAGTTAGAGTTTCTATTTTTATATCCTTTTACAATGTCGAGTAGAGTATTAAGGAACGCCCTGTTTAACCATGTACTTTCTTCTTAGTTCAGATATTTCAGATTAAGTACAGTAATTAACGAGGCAGGAAATAGGTTGGTCAAAAGACACTACATTGTTCAGGATATCAACACTAATTTGGGTCAAGAAAAATACTTTTTCCTACGTTACGTCGTTAAATACATTTCACACTAGTGCAATAAAAGTAAAAAAAAATCAATTTGCATAAATTCGATACGAAATTACACTTAATTACACAATTTCAGTAAGTATTTTTTAAGGTCAATTTTGAACGTGACGAAATCTATCGGTTTTAAATATTTGAGCGTGGAAGTGAAATTTAGAAAACCCATTGAGCACGTATGTTTTAAGAACCTTACGAATCGAATAGCAGGTACCATTATTTTAGATTTCTTTCGGCGACTTTCTCCGAAAGACCCAAATATAAGTAATGTGTGAATTTTAAGGTGTGTGTCATGTGTATTTATTTAACTTCAACTGTCGTTATGTACAATTAACAATCGAATTTATTATTAAAGCTATTATTAAAAGGTGTTACTTGTTGTCATTATAATTAGAAATTATGTTAAAATATACATTCGTTTGGCGATTTATTATTTATTGAATGTGATCGTTAAATGTCTGTAAGGAAATAATTGTGTTTTATATCAAATATTGACATACAATTGTAATCATTATGAAGACATACAGGATGATCGCATCTTTTTGGAGAAAAAATGGTGAATATTATGTTTAAAAAATATTTTTATTAAAAAATACTTCTGTTAATAATAAATAAAAGTAATTTTATGTGACATTTTTCAATTTAATCAGTTCGATGGAGATTTTTATGTGCAGTAAAGTAATTTGATGTCACGTGTAGATCACCCTGTATAAAAATAACTATAAAGTGCGATTTGAAAAGGTTATAAAATTGTCGCTAAAGAAACCGAGATAACGACATTCAAAATAATCGAAGATGATTATTAACGAATAATTCGAAGACCGCAAATATAGGAAAAATGAAAGTTCTAATAAAACTAATCGCATCAGCTAATTGAGACTGTGTAGTGTTTCGAATTCGAATTAATATATTTTCTTTTTTTTCAGGTATTAAGTAGAAATTAGCAAAAATGGCAAATGTGATAAATTCAACAACCACTCTAGTTCATCATGTCTATGATTATTATTTATGGACCCTATCCTTATCAGGTAAAATAATACTCATTCTTTATAATAATCAATTTTGACCCCTGAATAATTGGATTTTAAATTAATTTCATAAATACTGTAAGTACTAATTTAACACTTTCCTTTAAAAGTAATTCACAGATAAAAAGTAGATATTAGTTAAATAACTACAGATATTTGTGCTAAAAAATATACCTTTTTGATTGACCAAATGTAGAGAAGCTTATTCAAGATCAAAAGTACTTTCATCTTCCTTGCAATTCAATTTTATAATTTCAAAATTTTTCTATTCACTTTTTCAGATAACAGAACGAAGGGATGGCCTCTGGTAGATTCTCCCATGCCGATGCTCATGTTGATCGGCCTGTATTTCTTCGTAGTGTGGCTGGGACCGAAGTTGATGGAAAATAGGAGACCTTTAAAATTAAACAAATTACTTATACCGTACAACCTATACATGGCCGGTTTGAATTTCTACATAGCTTTTAATGTAAGATATACCCACTTAAAAGTAGAATGAACATCTAAAATGTACCATTGGCCTATTTTTCCAGTTACTCACCGCCTCGTTTCGACTAAAGTATAATTACTTTTGCGAGCCCTGCAGAGAGAAGTACACCCCTGACGAGATGCAGGTACGTTCGAATTACTGGAAATTAATTATGGCTTGTTCATCCGCATTTAGCACGAACATTATCTAAAGTGAAAGTGATGATTGGAGAGGAGTGGCAATAGTTTTTTAGTCGCATTGCTCGTTAAAGCTAGTTAAGAGTTCATCTTACTTGACAATATGATTGAGTACCTAAATACACACATCATTTGGATGTAAAATGACTCTAAAAGATGGTTATTAACTTTTGTTGGAAATCATATTCTATACGTTCCAATTTTGCTTTTAAAAAGTTATTATAATTGGCAAACTTCTGTTCTTTAATTAACCTCAGTTTCTCATGTATGTTTATTTTAGATCACCGAGGCGGTTTGGTGGTACTATTTTTCTAAGCTACTCGAATTCTGTGATACGATATTCTTCATACTGAGGAAGAAGAAACAACAATTGTCCTTCCTGCATGTCTATCATCACTCGACGATGTTCGCTTTCTGGTGGATCGGAATCAAATGGGTGCCAAGCGGTTCCAGTAAGTTTCTAAAATTTAATTCCGTTGTTGTTAAAAATATACATTTGCTGTATATTTTGGAGAGTATGATTAATTTTTGACTGATTTTTCAGCATTCCTGCCTGCTATGGTCAATTCTGGAATACACGTTTTAATGTATTCTTACTATGGACTTTCTGCTTTGGGTCCAAAAGTTGCTCAATACTTGTGGTGGAAGAAATATCTAACTATATTGCAACTAGTAAGTATTCAATTTTAATGTTCAGAAAAATTAATAATACCAGCATAATTTACTCAATTTACTCAATTTACTCAATCCAAACGAAATTTTCATAAGTTATGATGTTGGTATTTGAATAGGCTCGTGAAATAATTTGGAAAGGCTTCTGGTTGCATTGAAGAAAGCTATTGAGCCTTTAGAACTTTATTTTAGAGTCTTACTGATAAATGTTTATAATTAACTCACTTTTTACAGTCTGGATAATCATGATTAATGTTTTGTCTTTAATGAAAATGCAAAACAATTTCTGCAGCTACGTGTGGTAAATCAATACATTAATTTGTCTATTCTAATTTCAGATTCAATTTACCTGTGCCTTGGTCCTGGGATTAAACGGTATTAGAATGGGTTGTGAGTTTCCTCTTTGGATGCACTATACACTTATCGGTTATATGGTCTCTTTCCTTGTGCTTTTCGGCAATTTCTACGTCAAGGCCTATTTGGAAAAGGTGAGATATTACATTTATATTAATATTTACATTATATTAAATTTGTTATTGTTTAAAGGGCAACGAGGTGTTCTATGGAATGGACTTCGGTTGCGGACAAGGAAACCAATTTACAAACAAATATACTATGCAATCACACAACGGTCTTCAAGATGAAATGGGCAAGAAACACAATTAAAACCATACGAAAATGAAAAGGGAATTTAACGAGCTAAGTTTTAGTTACACGACGAGGCGTCGTTTTTAATCGGAATATTAAAAATCTTGTACACGACCTGAAACTAACGCCTTAATAGGAGAATTTTATCATTTTTTTAACTAATTTTAAACGTGATGCACTGCTAATCAAACGCTGTAATCAAACGTATCCGGATTAGTTAAAAAACGAGCATAAACAATCATGATCTTCCTGATGATTAAATTTCTAAGTTACAAACAAATTCGTAGCGTAAACGTTCTAAATTAATAAAAAAGAAGCATGCCTTAACTTGCAAATTCGGGATATCAATATAGGAACTTCGATAGGAATTTCTTTTTCGATGCTGATATCCATATATAGTGCAAACGATGTGAAATATTGTTGAATAAGCTGTTGATTATTTTTACGATAGATAGGATGTGATTATTATAATCAAAAATTGAGAATTTTTATATATTTGTTATTTATTTAGGATGGAATTTTATTTTTGACTACTCTAGATCGTTGTAAAATTATTTTTTTGTCGATCAAACATCTGTTTGGTTGAAAACTGAGTTTATTTTAAATAAGTTTTTTATAAAACCATGATCGTTCAAAAAATATTATACATTAAAGTTTTAATAAATGTATGTACTTAAGTACTGTTCTAGTTTACCAGTATTGGATAAAATTTCTTTGAGTAGGACTCTCATCAACGGTCAATTCAAGATTTAATTTTGATTTATCAATGATTAATAGATTTTATAAGCTTTTTTTGTATATATAATTATAATTGGTCATTGGTTGTATGTTATATTTCTGTTAAGCTCAAAAATGTTGTGTTACCTATTGTTAAAATAGAATTTTTATGGTTACCTGTTATATCATTTTGTTTTTACTGTTAATTTTAAAGAGTTTTATTCCTTTATCGAATACTTTATGTATTTACGTAACGCGTACAAAAACACTGCCGTTTAAGTAAATGCGACATATTTTCGATAAGAAAATTATAGTGTACTCAGGGTAAAATGTTAAACTATTGTGTAATTTCGAAAAATTCAAGTATGTAGGGAAACTTCGAAACTGTATTATCAAATTTTGACAATATTATGTAATTTAGTTCTTTCTAATATCATTAAAGCTTTTAAATAAAAAAATGGATTTTATTATCCTCATCCTATGCTTAAATATTACACCAGACTAATTTCTAAAGTGCTTTAAATTTGAATAATTAATTCAAAAAATTTCAAGTAATTTAATTACGAGTAGAATAAGAAAATACTGAAATCGTTTTGAAAGTTACTCCACAAAAACCACATCTTCACAAAGAAACCTATTCATATCAAACTCTCGTGCGTTGTTACAAAAAAAAAAACTTCACAATAATCCTTTAGTCCAAATCACTCGATGTAAAAATTTACATACGGTTATTTCTGTAGGAATTTTGTGCTTTTCAAAGGAAACCCGCCTCTCTCGAGAGATATTTCGCAGAAGCAGGTAACTGGCGGATAATTTCCTTTAAAAGGATTTTCCTGGAGACCGAAGCACTGTGGTTTTCCACGGCTCAATAATCGGACAATATGCATGGCATCGTTAAAACCAATAGATTTTTCTAAATGGTGTATGCTAATTAATTTAGTATTTTCAGTTAAATTAAAGTTATCTCTAGTCCTTAGATCTCTGTATCCTTAAGATCCTAGATCTTTAAGGCACTAGTTAAGTTCCTGTTAATGGTAATAAGTCTAACAGAGATATTAAGAAGAATAATCAGAATTAGCAGGAACATAAAAGTAGTAAATTTGGAAAGAGGAATGAAGTTAGGAGTGAATCGAGGAATGAATCGAGGAATGAATTGAGGAGTGAATTGAGGAGTGAATCGAGGGATGAATCGAGGAATGAATCGAGAAATGAATCGATGAATGATTTGAAGAATCAACCGAGGAATGAATTGAGGAATGAACTGAGAAATGAATTGAGAAATGAATTGAGAAATGAATTGAGAATTGAATTGAGGAATGAATTAATTGAGGAATGAATTGAGGAATGAATTGAGGAATGAATTGAGGAATGAATTGAGGAATGAATTGAGGAATGAATTGAGGAATGAATTGAGGAATGAATTGAGGAATGAATTGAGGAATGAATTGAGGAATGAATTGAGGAATGAATTGAGGAATGAATTGCACATGAAATGAATTGATAGGTAGATAGAAATTTGTGTCCAGTTGAAAGAGGATATTGGACCAAGCAGCGTCGGATCGGTTTCCAGACCTGCACAAGGGCGTGATACGAGAGCGAGTTCGCGAAGGGCGTTCACCCTTCTTAGTTCCCGCAACGTCCGACAGCCGCCTACAGCGCTACTATCGATTATCCTTGCACGCGTTACGTCACTCACACGGGATGCTGAGTTTCCCGAATCGGGATTCTAGTAGGCGGTAGCGAATCGCACTTTCCATACTTCCACCGAATGGCATTTCGATCATTTCGGTTTTCGCCTGGAATGCTTTCCAAATTTTTGGCCTTTCTCGTAGTGTTGTGCCCGTATATTGTACCCCGACCACAATCCAAAGTAGTTTACTAAACCCGATCGCGCCTTTCGATGTTTGTAAGTACTTATCCTTTCTGTCTTTCGAGCGGTTTTTTTTATTTGAACTCTTGCATGATTCGCTTGACCTTTTGCGATTTTCTCTTTACATGATGGTTTTTATGGGTTGTATTTTTTCCGGGGTCGTTTCTGTTGTAAATAGAACTTGCGAATTGGCAAAATATGGGTCACTAAATGCGTTTTTTGTGGTTTTTTTACAGTAAAATAAGTATAGAAAATGAACAAAAAAAAATGGGAAAATATAGTATAATAGTTGTGCTTTTTCTTGTATTAGATTTTTAGGTAAAGCTTTTGTGTGAGCAATATAATAGATATAGTAGTTAATAATTTACTGAGTAGCTAGAAGATTTTATACAGAGTATCCCATGATATAATATGTTAATTTCTGAAGAAAAAATCAGTGAGATTCCAAAAATATTTACAATGCTTTATTAAATTAATAAAAGTAAAAATATTTTATTGAATAAGAACGCACTGTACATAATTAAATGTTACATATTTTCATAAAATTATTATTATTATATTTTTAAAGATGGTCATTGGACACCCTAAGTACAACTCTGTTTAATTACAAATCTGTTGTCTAAATTCTATCGCTTTATTAATTATTCTTAAACATTTTCAAGATAAGACTTGTAAACAAATGAGTCTTTCATTGACACTGCATTCAATTTTTATTTGCAGATTATCATCGAATACGAGTAGCTTACGGTACAACGAATAACGCCACACCAATTAGTTATTTGCAGAATAAATAAATTAGTAAATAAAACTTTTTCTTTTATACTTGTAACGAAGTAAAATGTTAACGTAAAACGGGATTTTCGTGAACTAGAACAATGTTAATCCGGTGGAAAAACAAAGACAAAGACAAAGACAAATGTGAGAAAACTTCCAATCAAAAGCAGAGTTCGTCCAGTACGTCGAAGAAGAAAAGAAAATTCGGTCGAGATGGGGGTAAGTTAAACTTAATTTGTTAAATAACTAACAGTTTTGTTTAAATGGTGGTTATTTACCTAATTACCACCTAAAGTTAAAAGTAGAGTTGAGTTTGTGAACTTCTTAACTGAAATACAGGTAACTGTTTTATTATAATAATATGAGTAGGTACAGCGTATTTGTTAGATATGTGATGTTTTTGGTATAGCAATCGAACAATCGAATTTTTCGTATATGCAATTATAAAAAGTGCATAAAAATCCCCCATTCAGATCGCCATGGCATTAATTTTCGGGAAACGAACGGTTCGCTTCGATACTCAAAAATTATTACTGGGCTAATGTCATTTCCAACCGCATCGTAGTATAAAGCAATAAAAAACTTTTCAGAACTTTCGACTCCGGTTTGAAAACTCCATGCGTATAGCTGCTTTAAAATTATTGTACGGCCGGATAAAAGCAGGGGTCATAAAAGCTCTGATATTCAATATGAGTAATTCTTCTATTTTCATTTTCGAACGTATATTTTGCGAAACGGACGAATGCACAGTTTTCACAAATATATGGGAAACTCATTTACGAAGAATGGAGCCCGATTTTATTTTAATTTTACGTTTTTCGATCGGTTTAAAATGTCGAATAACACATACCTACCATTATTATTTTTGATAAAGCACATGCTGTATACAGGGTGTCCCACGACGAGTTAAAACTATCTGTATATCTGTATATGTTAAGACGAACCTCTTAAAAATATTTTACCAGTCGTACCACTTCCGGATTTACCGGAAGTAGGAATCAACTTTGTTGTTTCAAATAGAACATCATGTTCAAAATGTACGTAAATTTTTAGGATACTTTTGTCTAAAACACTTTTTTTCGAAAATGCATACTTTTTGAGTTAATTAGTAAATTTTACTGATGCTGTCCGAATCTCCGTAAAGAAACGGTTTCTGTAGGGTGACCACTAGAAAGTTCAAAGATATTTAAACCTGTGTTGAAAAACTTTTTATTTTATGCAGGGTGTGTACAAAAATTGTACAAACTTCAAAAATATCAAATTTCTTTTTATCAAAGTTCTTTTTTTAAAAAGAACCACCCATTTTTCTATTTTAACGAAATCAGAGGTAAAAAATAAGGGAAGTTCGTGTTTACTTTCCTATACCTAAACCTAATAGGATTGATGATATTAAAAATTTTATATAAAACTTACATTTTTTGCATTATTAGCAACAGTTAAAAAAACCTAAAACTAATATTTCTAATTCCTCATTGTCCTATCAATAAATGTATATATAAACTAATTTAAAATATTTGAATTAAATAGATCATATCGATAAATTTTATTTAGTTTTCCATATAGAATTTCCAATATAGAAAATAAATCTAGGTACTTCTTTTATTTATAGATAGGAACTGGGAACTTTGTTTCCTATCGACATTTTGTATTGAAATTTCTGCAATTGGAAAAAAACTTCATTGTGTTGTTTTATTACGCCGTGAACTGTTTAATTTAATCCGATGGTTTTCCTGTTATTACGTTATTCTACCCTTTTTCTTTTTACCCATAAAATATTAAACTGCACAACCGATTTGATACAAGACCAACGCTCAAATATTTAATCGATATCGAATGTGTAACGTCATACGTCAAAGTGCCCAAAAAAGAAGATTTTCTGAGGTTATAATCCAATCATTTGTGTTTACGAAGAAGCGAGCGTGTTTTTATATTTATAACAAATACATTCGATAACTGTTTGAATAACAATACTTTCTGCGAACGAAATTACTAAACAGAGTGCACGACAATGGTAACGTTATATATTAAACTACAACCGTTAAAGCAGGAGTGTATAAACCTCGATTATCTTTTAGGGTAAAGCAAAGAAAACTAGAAAAATCGTGGAACGTCGTTTCGCTAAAATGAAGAAAATGATAAGTCTAAGCGATCCTCGCATAAAAGAATCGTT